CCCCAAAACCCCAAAACCCCAAAACCCCAAAACCCCATATTACTATTAAATTATGGAAATGAGTTTGAACTTGCATTAAATAAGTTCATTCAAATTCGGTGAAATCCCGAAGCCAAAGTAAATCTTAAGGTGAATATTTATACATGTAGAAAAGGCTAGCCCCCCATCTCATTCTCAGGATCATAAGAGAAATTGTTCCATTTTGAATCTCCAGTTGCATCCTCGGGAGGTGACATTGGATTCCCATCTTCATACGACCCATAAACGTCGATTTTAGTGAATCCAGGTCAGAAATGCTTCACATCATCTTCTGAATCTAGTTGAGGGGTATATGGAGGTTTCTGTCCCTTGTTGTAGATGTCATCCCAACTGATATTAGCAAACCATGGATGACTCTTAACATCTTGTGCATCATTTACCCCGCTTCCAAGTCTTTTGTCAGGGTCTTTCGTCAAAAGCTTGCTCAAGAGATCTTTTGCTTCATCACTAAGGGTGTCAGGAAGATCAAGTTCTCCATTTTGAATATTGTGATACAGCTTTTGACGGTTTTTGGTATAGAACGGAGGGATTCCAACAAGCATTTCATAGATTATAGCTCCGAAACTCCACCAATCAGCAGGCTTTCCGTGGCCTGTCTTGGCTAGGATCTCAGGTGATAGGTATTCTGGAGTTCCTCAGAAGCTATGAGCGTCGGAAGATCCTTGTATATTTTCCTTTGATAGACCAAAGTCAGTAATCTTTGCGTATCCATCATATCCGATAAGTACATTTTCTGGCTTAAGATCTCTATAAATAATATCGTTTTTGTGTAGTTCTTCGATAGCAAACAAAATATTCGAAGCATAGAAGCAAGCTGTCTTCTCCTTAAATTTTCCAATGTTCTGGAGATAGAAGAATAGTTCGCCTCCAGGGCAGTAGTCCATTACGAAATATAACTTCTTCTTAGATTGGAATGAGTACTGAAGACTCACAATGAAGGGATGTTTGATCTTCTCCAAGATCCTTCTCTCAGCCATAGTATGCTCTACCTGATTTCTTTTCTTCAAATCTGCCTTCTTCAGCATCTTCATTGCATAAGAAATGCCTGTTTTCTTATGTTGTACTAGAAAGACTTTTCCATAAGAACCTTGACCAATGACCTTCATCATGTTAAAATCTTCTTTAGAAGTTTTACCCTGTTTTGCTTGGTTATCTTTTACCAGCTGGTCATAATCCGCCATGTCTTCTTCAATCATGATCATGTCATCATCACTAAGCTCATCTTTCTCAGGATCGGGTGATTCTTCAAAGTGTTCCTTCTTATTAGTTCCGTCTCCATAATAATTGGTGTCAATTACATATTGATTAAGGTTACAGCTATCTTGGTTGTAAATGATTGCAGACTGCTCTTCAAACTTGGCCTCCATCCACGCTGAAATTAATTTAATATATATAAACCTATTAAGCAATAAAACTCAGATAATTCGGGGTTTTGGGGTTTTGGGGTTTTGGGGTTTTGGGG